ACGGAGGGAATACATTTTTGATGACAAAAAAAAATTATAATATAATTTTTTATCATAAAATTGTTTTTATCCAAAACATGGAATCGTTAGCCCAAACGAAACATTGTGTACCAAAGTATCGAAATTAGTATAAGGCACACTACTAAATCAAATTATTTTGATCTTTTTGTTGGTAAAATGTTAGAAACCATTTCATGAATAATGTTTCGAGTATCAAGCGTAAACTATATACCGTTTCACTAATCACTGAAAGTATGTTTATTATATATTTTGCAGATATACAGCACAATGACGACTCCAATACCAGAGCAAGTACTAGAGAGACTGACAAAAGATGCGATGGGTCTAGCCGGAGCCATAGGAGAGCTTGGATGGTACCCTATAGGTGCAGCTCTGTGGGCTATGTCTTACCAAATGCCGATATCTGTTATGGCGCTTCCCTCCTCAGTCGCCACAAACTCGGTTGGGACCATCTTGTCCTGCTCTGCCTCCCTTCAGTTCGGTTCAACGGCAACCGCAATTGTTCACTGCTCCTTTCTCTCTCAACTTTCGACTGACTTGGCTATCTCAGGTTCGTACCATAAAATGTTTTACAAGTTTCTATGCATATTTTAATTTTATCTGATAATGTTTACTTGAAAATTTTAAGTCTTTTGTAGGATTGGCTGAATTGTGTTTGAGATGATATTAATTCAAAAGAATGTTTTAAAAAACTTTGCGCTTTTATCTAAAACATCTAATATTTTGGGACTATTATAAGACAGAGGGAGAACTATTTATTTTTTATTTTTTCAATATTATAGCACCTAGAGAATTAACTTTAAATCCATGATTCAATCTTTGTATCAACATCAATTGTGGAAATGGATGGTCAGGATCAAAAGGGTCGATTCAAATGAATGACTATGTGATCCCTTACAAGGAGGACATAGCTTGGTTCAAGTACACAAGTGGCGCTAAGTTCGTGGACATGCACATTGGTTGGAACATGATACCGGAGAAAGTTACCGTGGACTGCAGCGGAGCCGAGGAGTCGCAGGAGGCCATGATGCTGAGAGCATTTACTAGGCTTGTCCAAGGAATCAACCGTGGCGAATCAGAGGCTGATCGGAGGTGGCCGGAGATCAGTCAGAAGACGCAGTTGGTGGTTGATGCGGTGAAGAAATCTGTTGATATTGGTTGTCAGATTGTTTATCTTTAGAATCGTGTTGACATCTTGTGCTAATTAGATGATGGTATTAATATTAGTATTTGTATCATCGATACTAATACTATCAAGACCTCATTGCTTCAACTCAATTTTTAAAATTTCAATGAATGCTTGCATTGTCACGAAGCCGGTGTAATATATACAGAACGTTGGTCTTTACTTGCTTCCCGTAGTAATCAACCTATGCTTCGTTCTCACCAGCAACACTTGATGTTGTTCTTGCAATAAGTAGTTAAGAGATGATCACTGGCATGTGATTGCACATGTTTTCATCTTTGATAGTAATATTTTCTTCTTGATTTTCTTGATTTATGTTCTTGTGTTGAGTTCTTTTTAAAGGCTAAATGTACTTATAGAGAATTAGAAGATGTGTATATTATAGATTACAATTCCTGAGCATTTTCCGCGGACCCGACGACCCAAACCAGAACCGACTCGGAAAATCGGTTTGGATCGGATTCGGTTATTGAGCAAAACTTTTACCCTACTGAGTCTATTTTATTTGGACCCGTGGGTATTAGGTCGGGTTGGGTTTTTACCCTAAACCCCATGGGTACCCAATTTTTTTTGCAACAAATGCATATATTTACACTTTACCTTCAGGATAAACTAGGGCTCTAATTATTTAAGACTTTAAAAAACTTTGATTGTTACATTTTTATTTTAAAGTATGGCTGTCAAAACTCTGACTTAAGTGAGGCTTTAGAAAATGTTAAAAGCTTTGTTTTTGGACTTTAAAAAAAAAAATCAAACGTATTGTAAAGAAAAAAGAGAAAAAGGGTTGTGAGAACTTGAAGGAGGAAGTTAAATGACTTTGAAGACTAAATCTTTTAAAATCTCCTAAAATCTCACCAAAATCTTTTAAAATCTCCTAAAATCTTTTAAAATCTCTTTAAAACACCTAAAATACAAAATCATTCAAAATCACCTAAAATTCTTAAAATCCCTATTCCAATACACCCTCTAAAAGTGTGGTTGGATAAAATATGGTTTTTAAGACTTTAGAAAATTTTAAAAGTTCCTAAAGCCTTTAAAGCCAAATTGCCAATCACTACCTAAGTCACAGCATCTGTAGATTATTCCTTTATATTACTCCATCCGTTTCATAATAAGTGTCGTTTTGACTCTTGACTTACCTAATGTATCTAGATGTATATGGATGTATTAAGACTCAAAACACATGCAGATACATTAATAAATAGTCCAGATTCATTTTGTCAAACGACACTTATTATGAAACGGAGGGAGTATTATAATAACTAGGGATGACCCGCGCGTGAAATTCTTGTGTTATGTTAATTTTATTGTTTTTCTGAAAATTTAATATATATATTTGTTTATTATTGTTTCAAATATGTCATACATATATTAATTAAATATATTAGGATTAAGCAAAATTTCCATATCATCCCATTTCGTTCTTTTTCATCATGTCCGTTTTTTCCCTTCCCGTTTGTCATGTCTGTCCGTGCAATCCCATCTTATCCCATCATGTTTTTTTCTGTTTCTTTCCGCCCCATCCCTAAATATTATTAGAGATAGGCCAAATACTCGTCTCATTATCTTCCTTTGTGTCCTACGATTCAAGGTGATTCATGTCTCTTCTTGAACTTTATGACCTTGAATCGTCGAACCTTTATGTCCTACGCGGAAGTTTATTCCATTCCAGAAGAAACCTGCGCCGAATTAAGCAAACATGTTTTTGGGTGCTGGAGCGTCATTGTCAGGATCCAGCGCGATCGGAGAAGGATCCATGTTGGTTTGTCTGCTGGATCCAAAACCGAGTCTGTTAAGTATGTTCATGGCAAAATTTGAAGAGTGAGAGAAAAAGGAAAAAGAGGAGGAGAGTGGTGTAGGTGGAGAGGAGGATGCGTCGGCTTATGCTATAGAGATATAAGTAAAGATTTTCCGATTTCCTACCCAAATTTAAATTTTATTTATTTATAGATTTTAGTTGCAAATGTGGGACTAAGTTTTGCGTAATCTTGTGGTTATAGTATAACCAAATTTGTATTAACTTACTAAGTTTTCTAGTGATCTGTAAATTTGTATTATAATATTAAAATATTTTTGTAAACTATATATAAACCAACACAATGCAAATTCGTGTAATTTTAACCTTTTATGTTATAGATGATGGGCCAATACATTTCTTCACTTTCACGGCCCATCCATGATGATGTTTGGTGGGTTTAATTGTGTGTAATGTGAACGTGGGCCTTTCAAGCTCAATCATCTTCTCGGGAAGGATACCTACTCTACTTTATATATAGGTACCCGGTCACCTAATAATACCCACAATTATCATTTTATGATGGGTGAATTAGCTGAATAATACAATTGGCGGATAAAATTAAAGATATAGCCATAAGGGATTCGAAATTAGATAATTGGGTAAATATATGTGTGAATTGATGCCAAAGGGCTCAGCTAAATGGGCGGGAAAAATCTGTGCAACCGGCTGAGAGTGGAAGCGTGATGATGTGGCGACATAGTGAACAATATGCCATGGACCACAAGTATTCTGTTTGCACAGGACAAGATTCGTACCGTACGTTAATACCACATAATTTTACCGAAGAACTAAAACTGTCAAATCTCTATCTTAACCACTAAGATGGTAGTTACATTAAAATAAAATAGTTTAATCCAAAATTTGTGGACCTTATTAGCGCTCATTGGATTTAAAAGGAGCTATACCATATCACAACAATCGGACTGTACTATTAACACTAAACATCTTACCTACCTCCTCTGTATTCTACAGTGTCGACAATGAATAAAGAGGAAGACGGTGGTGTAGTCAATACGGCAACATTAAACTCGGAATCATTAAACTCGCAGGTTAGAAACCATGTCAAATAGATGTCCGATATGTTAAACATGTAAATATAGTATAGTCTACAATGTATATAACTAGTTCATCCAGACAGTACAGATCTATAATATATGTTTTCCATACCATATATTATACTCGTTTTGGGACTGCTTTTAACATTCTCTCTTATTTCCTCAGTTTTCTACACAAGATAAAGCAGATGTAGTCATCGGTACGTGGAACAGAGAGGATAATGGAGGGTGGATCTTCGAGCATGACCCAATGCTTCCACGAAAGACCATACAGCTTCAATCCAACCTCTCTTACACTGCGCTTGTCTCCATTGTCAAAGGAACACTTAATCTGCTAGCCAAAAACATATCAATCAAGCTGGCGTATCAGTACCCACAGTGGATGTCAATCGATGATGGCGATGGATCCACCCCACAGTACATAACGGATGATCACGAAGTGGAGGTTTTTGTCCAGATGCGTCGCCACGTGGAGGAAGTAAACCTATGCGTGACGGTAACACGTCATGTTGGAGCTATGATGCCGAACTCCGATAGGATACGATGTAGTCAGCTTCCTCCAGCCTTGACGGCACCTGAAGATAATGTGATAGGAGCTCAGTCAGACAATGACGGAACAGATGAAGAATGGCATCGGTTTGCAATTTCAGAGACTCCTCTAACCGCACCGCAGGAAACGGCACCTGAAGACGATTCGCAAGTCGTTCCGACAATCGGAGGTGGCAAGACTGTCCCAGGACGGAAGAGAGTCAGGACAAGTGGAATATCTATTCGAGAAATCGAACCTGTTACACGTCTAGCTAAAGCCGCATGTGGACCTCATGATAAAGGAAAGGCAATTGCATCTGATGACGATAGCGAATAAGACAGCGACGATGACGATGCGGTTGTTCCCACTTTGCGTAATCTTTCACAACATCCTTCAAGGAAAGAAGCCACCATGGCCGGTGCGCGTCGACAACTATTCCCAGAAGAGCATGTCGCACCACAGGTACCATCCGGTGACACAAACTCCGGCGAAAGTTCATCTAACACGGGATCTGGTGGTATTCCGGATATGAACTACAATGAGTGGGGACGATTCGACGAAGCCTTACACCTCCATCTGTGCGATTTCGGTGCCGATCCGGCCATGTTCGGAAGAGATGCCCCACCAGTTTTCCTTGATGACGACGAAGATCGTAAGTACTTTACTATCAATTATATTACAAACTATACTATTTTATATATGGAATAGAATACTTGTTAACAGACTTCAACGGATTGCATCACTTGAAACTAGTTACTTACTGTTGCTTTCCGTATTGTAGCGATTGATTCCGCTCTGGCAGATGTGCCTTATGAGGGTGATAAACTTTTCGTTGGACGAGTCTTCAAGTCCAAAACTGATTGCAAGCTGAAGATTGCTATTCATGCTATTAACTGGAAGTTCCACTTTCGCACAACCAGGTCAAGCCCAACGTTTATGGTTATGAAGTGCAGCTGTCCCACATGTGAGTGGCGTATTTACTCTGTGCTTGTTGACTCGACGGGAAACTTCCAGATTAGGCAAGCAACTTTGACACATACATTCACCATTGATGTTCGTCGCAACTACCATAAGCTAGCAACAACACAAGTCATTGGGGAGATCATGCAATCAAAGTTTGTTGGCATTAAGAAGGGCCCTAATCCAGGCGAATTACGGAAGATACTATTAGATGACTACCATGTCAATGTCTCCTACTGGAAAGCCTGGCGCGCACGGGAGTTGGCAATGGACCATGCCATGGGGTCAAGAGCTGGTAGCTATGCACTCCTCACTGCGTACTTGTCTTTGCTGCAAACTGCAAACCCAGGAACACGTTGCGTGCTGGAACATGAGTCAGATAGTACCGGTGCTTTGCGATTTAAGTACACATTCGTCGCTTACGGGGCATCCATTGCTGGCTTTCCTTACATGCGAAAAGTGATTGTAGTTGATGGCACAAGTCTCAAAGGCCGGTTCGGTGGATGCTTACTCTCGGCTTGTGCTCAGGATGCCAACTTTCAGATATTTCCTCTCGCATTTGCTGTAGTAGATAGCGAGAAAGACAACTCATGGGCTTGGTTTATGGGGCAATTGAAGATGTTCGTCAATGATTCACCTGACCTTGTGTTCTTCTCAGACCGCCACCCTAGCATCTACCCCGCTATAGCAATGGTATGCATAAGTTATTGGTACATTGTATTTCATATGTTTTAACTAATAATGAGACATTTTCAATAAATACTCGCTTTATACTCATACCTTTGGTGCAATGCAGGTGTTCCCTCAAGCACATCATGGTGCATGCACCGTTCACCTTTGGCGTAACGTGAGGGATAGGTTTAAGTCTAAACGTCTGGCAAACCTAATGTCTGCAGCTGCGAGATGCTTTACTGTTTCGGAGTTCAACCGAATATTCTTACAGATACAGAGACTTAATCCTGGCTGTGCAGCTTACTTGTTGGACATTGGTGAGTGTTTTGCAACCATTTTTGATATTTAATACTATACTATATTCCCGGTATAGTACAGATCATCAACATATGTCCGTATGTTGTGTTCCTTTCAGGGTTTGGACATTGGACGCGTGTTCATTGCACTGGTAGACGTTACAACATCATGGATTCAAACATAGCTGAGTCCTGGGATGCTGTATTAAAGGAGGCGCGAGAGTTCCCCCTAATTTGTATGATGGAGTACATCAGGACATCTGTAATGAATTGGTTTGCTATACGAAGGGCTAAATCCCACTTGCATAAAGGCACTTTGACCCCAAACGTCCGGAAGATCATGGAGAAAACCTTTGAAGACTCGACGGCACTCGCTGTGCGAACCATATGCACAATGGAATTTCAAGTTCAAGAGCCATATGGCGAAAGCCACACTGTGAAAATAATAGATGGAACCTGCACATGCATGAGGTTCCAGCTATTGGGCATTCCGTGTACTCACGCAATAGCAGCAGCGGTGAAAATCGACTTGCCAACTGACTCAATGGTCTCATGGGGATTCTATGGAGAGACTTGGACTCGTGGATTCGATGGCAAGATATACCCAGTGCCGTCTGTTGGTGGTGGAGATATTCTTGACTCATCTGGTGGTGATCTTCTTCCCCCCACCGTCCGCCGCCCTCCAGGTAGACCTAAGAAGCTAAGAATTATGTCCCGTGGTGAATTTAAGGTAAATACTTAATGTTATGTGAAATGGTAATTTGACAGTTATTTGATTGACCATGTTTTCTACTGAACTGCAGAAGAAAGGGCTTCACAGAGGACGCCGTTGCACACGGTGCCGCCGTCAGGGGCATAACAAAGCCTCCTGCCAGTTTGATATATAATGTATTATAGTGCTTAATGGGGCGGGGAGGAGGGTGTTGCAGCGTACAAGTTTTTTGGCAACCGGCTGAATAATGTGGATCCACATTGACTACGATGTGAAGTGTAGTAGCTTAATTTTAGGAGAGGGGAACGATGAAATAGCGTGGTATATGCATAAAAGTGAAATATACCACATTATTTCCTCTTCCAACCAAACCTTAATCCTTTTGTACTATTCAGCAAAGCCTGCAATGTATATAGTTAACAGCCATGTAAACCTCTTCAACTATTGTGAAATATTTCAGTCCCTTATGTATGAAATCAAGTAATTTGAACTACTACTTCTTTGCATTATCGATTACTAAACAAACACCAATCTGAAATGAAAATACCATACTGCACAAAACATGGTATAGACTGTATTATTAACAATAAACATACAATGGAATAGATGATTCTTAGAGATAGCGGCTCGGTGTAGCTATTTCAAACTCGAGATCAATACTTCGGCTAATTACATTCCTTACCCATTACGTAAACACTAAACCATAATTCACTACACAGAAACCCCTCAACGAAATACAATATACACTAAACCCTAATAATATAAACTAAACCCTACACCCCACCCTAAACACATACAATATACCCTAAACCCACCACCATAAACACTAATAATATACCCTAAACCGCACACTAAATACCTCAACCCATCAACAATTGATACCACCTCACACCCACTAACAATCACTACGTCAGACAAATTTCAACTACACCATACTACTTAAGAGAGAATATGAAACCATTATTTTCCACCTAAACCCATTTAACAAACAATTAGTATGGTACCAAACGGGTAACAATTTATGGTAGGATAAGAAATAGAATTATAGATTTAAACGCAAACATCATTACAACGGTAGTTCGAGAATAAAACAAGGCACAAGTCTCAAAGGACAATAACAAATGTATAGTTCCCGTAATACAGGGAACACGCGGATTAGTCTGAAGTGGCCTAATTGGCATCAAGTGTTATCAGTTGCTTCCAGGTACTCACACAGTGATACTGCGTAATTTCTACTTGCAGTACGCAATGTCTCATCATCTATGTCACCGGCTGCAAGAAGTTGGTTTGTTGCGTGGAGCTCAATCAACGCGAGTGTAGCAACTGCCGATAGACCTGCGCATTAAGTTGTACTATGTAAGTAGGACACACATGTTAGACACTACTACCATACTACACACTTCTATATGAACATAACTAACACAACCACTTCAAACTATTACCTGGAGCCTCACAAAGTAGGGAAATGTCAAGCCGTTTTATAGGAAATGGAGTGCCTGGTAGTGCATTAGATGCATCTGCATCACACGCGTGACGTATAATATATGGTAGCATAGCAGATAGCGGTTGCAGATAATTCTCCATTTCAGCAACAGTTACGCAGGCAGTGTTACAGTCGAGAACGGTAATCGACCTAGTCGATAGGTCAATAACAACTCCAACCCAATGTTTCCCATCTATCATGTAAGGGCAGTACAGTTGAGTTACATCTGCTACAATGTTCGGGCGGTTAGGAAGTGGAAGTCGGACTGCATCAGAGACGGAGAAGGTATCCTTGTCAGAGCATAAAACAAAAGCACCATAGTCTCTCTTGAGTCCTGTTATGTAGGAAGGTGGAATGAAATCGTAAGCACAATCCCTGCATGTGTCACGCCTCTGTTGCATGCTCCCTATAACTCCCTCCATAAGCTAATAAAAAATTTCCAGACCACATCGAATACCACAAGTATACTGTCACGTGCCAAAACGCAGGACTACAAATATATTATAATCTGATAAGAACACCTGCCCTTACCTCTATGGTTGGTGGGGCAGACGCATCATATAATTGTTGAACAGCCGGTCCATCTATATGCATCCCTTTTGCGGTTTCCATATTCCTAGTTTTATGATAAAAGTAGGATTATATGCACCTTGCGTAATTGATAATTCACCAATATAATCAATTATTAATTGATTTCAGACCAAAAAAACTTTCATATTCTTCTTCACGAATGCGTCATACGCCGCAAATTTGTCACCAGCAAGACGGATGAATGGAGAGAATCCTCCAACAAGTGTGCAAACTTTCTCATTCCACAGCATAGGTCCCGCCGCTGGAGGTGGTACATCCGTTTCTTTCGGATCTTCATTGCGGGTATCTTCACGGACGCGGGTATCTTCACGGACGCGGATAATCTTTGTTCTACATCGTTTTGGTACGTTGTTTGGTGCAGGCTCACTCCTTGTTCGCTTACTACTAGGCTTAGGCGGTAAAACATTACACGCACTAGGTTGTCCTTTAGTTACCTGCGCGACGACAACGACATATAACATAGAACGGGAACTACCTAATGCCAATCGAAATATACGGATAACTAACTATATAGAACAGTATACCATACCACCTTTATCAATGATATGGTATAGACTCACTTACGTACTATTCGACATATGGAATAGATGCCCGATAATGGTTTTCTCTTATGGATGCAGAGGACTATTAATGGATACAAAATTTCACCTCGTTTTTCCGTTTAGCAGCCGGCTTCTGTGTTCCGCGATCCGCAACGGTTTCTGATGTTCCCAATTTCCGAATATTACGAACCCTTTCTGAAGCACGCCTTTCCGGAATAACCGGTTCAACCGGCTGAACCTGGGTTTGCTCTATTATCCCGGCAGGTCTCTCTAATGTGACATCCGTATTCTCTTTTCCGGCAGGTGTCTCCTACAATAACGCAAATGTATATAAATACACTCAAATTCGACTCCAAATAACCGGATCAACCCATGCTAAACAACTATAACTAATTACCTTCCCTCCATCTTGTTGCTTATCCACAGACATTGCCGCTCCCATATACTCAGTTGTTATCACCTCCGGCCGGGTATTGCCATCGACAAACCCTACAGTCAACATCCACATTTTAGAATTCCTTACAACCGAAGTTCCATTACATAAGTGAATGAGAATTACCAGGAGGTTGATCAGCATCTGGACGCTGCCGTTTAGAAGTTCCTGTCCCTTCCACTTCTGGATTAGGAGTTGAGTGTCCGGTTGCAACAGATGTGTTCGGGTTTCGCGACTTGTTTTCACCAAGCTCGGCAATCTCCTTCATTAGTTTCCTCACCGATGTCTCCACAAACCCTTTAACACTTTCAGTGTATAGAACAAACATACGCCGTGCACGCTCTTCAAATGCATCAGCCAACTCTGAAATGGAACTTCCCGTAGTATTACTACCTTGTCCCATTTCCGATTGATGAGGGGGTCTTAACATAGGGATGTCCCCCGAGATATCGTCTGGTGAAGCGCCGCTGTTATTACGTACACCATCATGCTCTCTCGCCGGCTCATTCATTTGGGGAGCTGAATCATTCTCCTCGCTGTCACTTTCACTAGTTTCTGCTTTGGCGGCCTCGGATGCAGTTACCCCTCTGGACCAGGTGTTGTGCTCAAATGGATAATCTTCCTCAATTAACTGCTTCAGGTGTGTTACCTCCCCATCGACTACCTCATCTGGGAAATGCAGTCCGTCTCCAACATCATTACTTTCCTCACACAACAACGCCCTAACCACGGCCTGCAAGACAATAGAAAAATAACAATTACTCTATATATCTACGCATAAGAACCATAAACTGAATCAATCATTCTATTCACGTGTTCGTAATTCGTTTACCTGCCCTTCCAAATCAACTGTCCTTGCTTTGACAATATTAACACCAACGTGTTTGTCTATCACAGTCTGAATAACATCTTCAGCAAGCTGTGCTTCGGCGAGCAAATGATCCATCAATGGTGAACCAGATATGATTGTCGGACAGCAGCAAACAGTCACGAGGACCATTGCATGAGAGAACCCCTGTATAGCCGTAGTTGGTTGGACGAAATGCTCCGGGGTTCTCGCCTTCGCACTCTGTACAGTCAGCTCAAAAGACTCTCGTCCCCAGGGGTACTTAAGAAACGCGTCTATATCAGCAACCATTTCTACGACCCATGGCCGTATATTAGTTGATCCACTTCGAGTACACAATATGCCTTCTACGATTAGGATTAGTGCAAGCCGGAAACGGGCATCAGGATCCTTGTACTTCCGACCACTAATAATTCTCTCAAAAATCCACGATGGGGTGGGTTTGTCAATACCACCAAACAACGAGGACCACATCGGTCCACTAGCTTTGCCTTCAAACTTCTTCCTTCTCGAACCAGCATCACGTTTTTTCTTCTTACCCTTCCGGTCCTCACGTGTAGCGGGGGTACAATGCAAACCGGTAACCAAGGCAAAATCTTCTATTGCATATCGGATGGGTTTTCCGGCATATATCCACCATAATTCATAACGCTTCTTCGTTACTAGCTGTCTTGATAAAATGTAGTGTAGAAACATCACCGAGAACACGTGATTTCCCATATGCATTAGCCGTCCAAATTGGGACGCAGCCAACTGTTCAAGTTGCTCATCCTCCAACACAGATTTTATATGGTCCACCCACTTCAAGTTGAAATAGTTATTCACCCTCTTTCTACCAGTTGGCTCATGCCCTGTTTGGAACATCTTCTGCGGCAATCCTATCTCCTCCATGCTGAAAGTTTTGAAATATTCTGATAGTTTATACATTCAATTGGACGCTTAATACCACAACCCTATCATATACTATACTATGCACAAAACAGTATATCACTAAAATGAATAACACGATTCGAAATTATATTATACCATTTACACTGTGTATAACAGACGTAACTACTGAACTGTCCATCATAATCATACACTAAATACACTAATTTAGAGCAACTAATTGCAATTCAAACCTGAGCGGACTAGTACAACAACTCACTAAATCGAATTTCATAATTCCGTTCTTCATATACACTAACCAATCTCGTATTGCATATAACTCCCCAATATATATCAATTTCAGATAATAATTCGCACATGACAAGTTTGCATACAAGGACAGAAGATTTTATCATACTAAAGGAGAAATCCAATTTCAAAACTTAATTCAAACCTCATACCTTTGTCTAATCCGATATCGGGTTATGAACCAAACAATCCGGCGGACTTGCAAAATCGGTGTGTGTAATCTTTACCGAAACCTGATTATAAGCTCGATTCGCCCGATAGTAGCTAAACCTAGGTTGTGAGAAGAGAAGAAGACGGTGGGATTTTGAATTTCGAATGTCGAGTTCTCTTTCCAGAAAACCGAAAAACTGTGTTATCGGTCACAAATGTATCTCGAATGTCACATTTCTCTCTCATACAAGAGGGACAATTTGGGCATTATTACAGTTAATATACAAAATACTCTATCCATGAAAAGTAATGGTTAGTTTGTGAATTAATCCCATCAATACTATTATTCAGTGTAGTTTCCCTTTTATGATTCACAATCCTAAATCTTCCTCTTATAGTCTTCACTGATCCCATCAAATCTCTCACCAACCTCCGAAATGCCTCTTTTCTTCGTTTATACTGTTCGAAAAATCTCTCACCGATTTCCTAAACTCCTCTAATATTCATTCATATCAAGTCTTGATGACGATCGTTGAACATGCTTCTTCTTATGCTTTTAAACATTTTTTTCTTACAATCTAGATCTAGATAACGAGTGGATCTTCTGAACGCCGTTGACTAATTAAATAAAAGGTTAATTTAGCAAATATCCTCAAATTATCTGGCAATTCAACATGTGGAGGTATAAATGGGAAATTAGGCGCGTGTGTTGCAAAGTCGAAGTGTTATTTAAATGTGTCAGTTAATTTCAAAGTTATTTGGGGTTATCTATTGTAATTTCTGTTATATAAATAGTTGCTTTTTAGGCGAGCTTATAGATTAGCAGTACTAAAAATATTCAATAATGTCGTAAACTTGTAAAATGTGATTGTTTATTGGGATTCTTGCACTTCTAACCCACAATTTGAAGTCAATGGCAAAAGTAACCTGCTATTTTTTTCATTTGGGCTTTACCCAGATTTGTCCAGATAATAACGAAAATGCCATTACTTTTATCTCTTGTGGTCTACGAATGAGGTCTACGTTGTCGACCAAAAGACCAACAGAACCTCATCCTCTACACTTATTCACGAAACTGCCACTCTCATCAATGAACCCAACCACCATTTTCAACTAACTTCAAGCTTTTAATGCTTGATACTAGTAATTGTGATACTCCAAACATAATTGCACATCCCATAAACTCTAACACTATCATTTTCTCCACATTTTCATCCCAAAAACTCTCTAATTCTACTTTTCCATATTTCAAGTTCTTGATTTTCTCAAAATCGGGTTTGTGGCTTTCCTCACCACCGCCGAACGGTTGTGAAGGCTTAAAGACAAAGTTTCATCCCTCGGCGGCCCTAAAGACGACGGCCAGGTTGTGGTTTACTCCATTTTCGTTTTTTCAGATCTGAGTCGATATCGTAGATCTCAGGGTTAGGTCTATAGGTCAACGCAGAGGTTAGTTTTGCAATTGACTAAGACAAATCTGTGGAGTTAGACCGCGTAGAGAGTTCTACATAATCCCTTTGAAAACAAAAAAAATATCGTAAACCTCAAGCAGAGGTCTATTTTGAAAACAGGTTAGTTTTGCAATTGACCAAGGGAGGGCTTTTTTTTTGAGGTCTACAGATGAGGTCTATTGGTCAAAGAGGTTAGTTTTGCAATTGACTGAAGTTCTGGTTTTTACCTTAGACCTCTTAATGTGGTCTATAACAACTATTTTTAAGCTGACGTCTACGTCAGAGGTCTACATAGGTTTTAGATCTCAGTCTTAGGTCTACCTTAAAAAGTTGGTCAACGCAAAATAATAGGAGGTCTACGATAGTGGTCTACAGGTGGAAAAAAATTTCAAACAATTGCAAAAGTAACCTGTCTGAGGTCTACAGATTTCGTAGACCTACCCCGTAGACCGTATAATTTTTCTAGACTACAGGTTGAGGTCTATTTTGTTCGTGAGGTCTACCCAAATTTTTTGGATGAATTGCAAAACTAACCTCTTTTTTTGTAGACCGCATTTGTAGATCTCAAAAAAGTCTTCCCTTGGTCAATTGCAAAACTAACCTTTTTTAGACCTCTTTGCTAGGTTTACGCCTACGTTCTAGTTTGGAGGTCTACGATTTTTCCGTTTTTTAAAATCGATTTTCTGCGAAAACTAAAATTGTTTTTGTTAATATTTTTTCATAAATACTTCTATTAGCCTAATAACTTGTCCATATGAGAGTTTTGCATGCTAATGTTATGTAATGAAGGTTGTATTAGATTTTTGGTTAAATTTGGTAACTTGGTTAAACTCTGTAGACCGCAGCCGTGTGTGGAGGTCTAAGGTTTCCGTCTACAGGGCATCCATCAATATATATTAATGTGTTTTCCCTTTGGTTTTCATGCAGATCATGGTTTGTTTGGCATCCGTGTATGGAGCGTGGACTATCAGAGACAGAAAATGGTATTTTGAGGTTGATAAAACGAGAGGAGGTAGAATGTTCTACCTGCAGGATGATTGTAAACATGAAGAGCTGGTTGAAATGGTTGTGAACGACTACATGTTGCAAGTTAGTGGCGAGCTGCTGGAGTTGTCATATCCATTACCAGCTGCTATGATGGAGAAATTGCCAACGGATTCACCTCCTATGTATGTGACGAACGACAGACAAGTTGGGAGCTTGGTGGAGTTATGTAAGGAGCATGTGGTCCGTCTTTGCGTCTCGACCCGCGTTGGTATGGGAAGGAACTACAACGAACCAATACATGAGTGTGTCCAAGAATAAAAGTCTGAAGAGGTGGATAAAGAACACGTGGAAGAAGAATTCGGTGATGAAGGCTGGGATGATAACGACTTTGATGATGTAAACTGGAATGACAAAGCATGAGATGTAAATTCAGAAGATGAATCTTGCGACTGACGGCTGTGATGGCAAGATTCGCATTTAAAGTCTACAAGTCCACTACGGAGTTGTTTGTGGCAAAATGTGTTGTCAATGGATGTGCATGGAAGTTGAGAGCAGCTGTGAAGAATGAACCGGATTGCTTCTGGGTTACCAAGTACGTAAAGGGTCACACTTGTTCAATTATGGACCGTGTAGCTCACCGTAGACGAGCTACTCCAAGATATATTGGACAATTGTTTGTGGAGCGGACTGGACTCATAGATGGAATTGTCCCTCGACAAATTGCAGATTCGATGAGGATCATGTTTGGCTTGAATCTTACCTATACAACGTCATACCGGGCTCTCAAATTCGCTCAAGTATTTGTCAGGGGAACTCCAAAGTATACAACTGCTCCAAATGCAAGCAACCAGAACATACTCGCCCGTACTGTGTAAGCTTTGTGCGTCTCGCAGTTCCATTAGTTTTCATTACAACAATGCTATAATTGTTTGCTCTTCATTAGGTGTCCAAGCCTGCTCAGAAATAAGGTCGGAGGTCTACAAGGAGTTCCCGGATGACTACGAAGCATTCACGCGCAGTCTACTATTTATTTCGTGGAGGTCTATGAGACGTCTACAACTATATCCATTAAATTTTATTTTCATATCATCAGTTACAATGAGTGAATGACGTCTACCTTTTTTCTACATGAAGTTAAGTAATACTAAAGACAGATTTCATTAATAACTGCGTTTCAGTTTGTGTTGCATCCAAAATAGTTATACAAAATCAGTGTTGTGAAGAGGGGCCAAAAAAAAGATAAACCCTCCTCCCCGGCTAAACGTTCCGGTGAGTTTACAGAAATCATTCCGTTAAAACACACTTTGTTTCCTTTATGACAATGTTTTTACATAATTTAGAAGCATTTTGACATTAAAAAACTATGGCCATGAACGCTTCTCGACATTTCCAAGAACGTGATTCCAACATCTTGTCTCGACTCTGATCCAACATTTTTTCTTGAGGTATGTTCTGCGTGAGGGATATTCTTCACCTGAAAACCAAAATAGTAAATCTTGTGAAACACTATACTAGAGTAATCAATCTTTTGCTAAGTCTGTTACTCATGAACTCACCGCCATACAAAAGATTCTCCAAACTTCCATTACTCATGAACATTCATTTGAAAATCAAAAATCAAGGGTATCAAAATCAAGGGTATGAACATTCATATTCATAACACAGACGTTCAGAGTTTCACTTCCATATATATGAGTATAAAAAATCAAAAATACGATTTAAATACAACAACAAATCTATGATAAGTAACTGAATGTTTGTGTACCATGTGTAAGAAGAAACTATAAGAGTTCTGCAAACGCTCAAGGATTAGTTACCTTTATTAACTAGTTTATTGAGCTTCATTGTCTTCTTTACGCTAAATTTTCTTTGGGATTTCTTCGAGTCTTCTGTTGCAGCTGAGACCAAAAAGAAGAGATCAGCTTCTATTAATGCAAACCATAGTACAAGTCACAAGAGCAAAATGAATCTGAACAGGCCATTGTAATGAATAATACGCAAAACAATATACAAAAGAGGGCATATCAATTAGACAAGAGAAGACACAGAACAAAAAGAAAACATTCTATAAATATGCTAACAGGGAAAGGCACAATGTTTTCACAAGAGTTATGAGCAGAAAACTAAGCAAGAAGAACAATTCCAAGAAGATATTATAAAGTTACAGCTCAAACTGATTATATTTCTGAGTACTAAAAGTTTATTTCTAGCTGATATTAGATTTATAATCACAGAATTAGGTAAGTCGAAGTATCAATTAGCAGAGCAGAAGCTGAGGATGAAAATTTACCTTCAGCAGAAGCCATCTCGACATCCTCCATGGTAACAAGACCCTTCTCCACCATCTCTTTCTGCTCCTGTTTTCAATCAACAAACATTTTTATTAGGACTTATAGCTATGTTTCTGCTCTTGTTCTATCAGCTTTCGCCTCTCTTACACTATATTTATAAGAAGAAAAAAAGAAACAACTTTGAGATTTCAATATCAGTGTGAGCAAAATTATTAAATCTAAAAAGAAAATACGTGTGTGAAAGATGTAATTCAACCAGAAAACAAAAGTAATAGCAAAGCAAAAGAGCAGAGATGATGAAAGAGAGAAATTTAGATAACTCACAAAGTTATAAGTGATAAACAAGCGGTCACGCCTCTTACAATTTCAGGCTCTTTTTCGGTGATGAATACAAATCAGCCTCATGCATCTGCGGATGTACTTCTCCCCTAGGTCATTGAAACGCATCAACGAACGGATTCAAAGCCTGCTTGGAAAATAATCTAACATGTTATTGTTCAAATCTAAACTCAGATCTGTTACAGAGAGAAGAACATGGTTTACCGGTGACAATGGTGATGGAAACTGACTCGACGCGAAGACGGCACTGGATGCGGCAACGACGGAGGTGGATGCGGCGGAAACTGCACGGAGATGGAGGAAGAAGAAGAAAATAAGAAAGTGGCGACATTTCACAGCGAGAGAGCGCGCCGTTTGATGAGAGAACGAGAACGAGATGGTGACGGCGAGAACGAGAAGGCAAAGGCGAGAGGGAAGCGAGATAGTGAGTTTGAGGTTCGAGAGGGAAGCGAGAAAGGAGAGAGAGAGAGCGCCGTCTGAAGAAAGAGGCTTTTTTCTTTTTCTAACAAAACCTAGGGTTTTTTTTCTTTTATAGGAGAAGATAAATTTCCCGGTTTAATTAGAAAATTTCGGATAACCGAACTTTCTTTTTCGGTTTAGCTAAAAGATTTAGCTTAAACCATAATTTGCTAAGGTCTACGAATGTAATCTACAAACGTGGTTTACGAGTGTGGTTTACAAATGCGATCTACAACTGCGGTCTAACTAAATTAGGGAATTTGGTTCCCGCTCATTCGGATTTCAAATTTTGGAATTCCCGCAAATTTAATTACTAAACCATTCCGGTTTATTTCAATTTCATCTTCTTGTGCGGTCTACAGATGAGGTCTACAAAACCCTAAACTACAAATTTTCTGAAAAAACATGAACCGAATATCAATTTTGTTTGTCATTTACAATATTTATGGTTAAGATAACAAAAATATTAAATATACGTAAAAAAAACCAACCAAAAACAAAAATTCAAATTAAAACTATCTAAACCCTAAGAATTGGACAACTAAACCCTAAACTATCTATCCAAACTCTTATCAATTTGAAACATTTACTCATGACATTTATAGATTGATTCATTTTTCGTATGATTTATTTTTAATAAATGTCAAATGTATAAGAATTAATTATGCATACAAGTTTTTAATCAAATTATTTTTTATCAATTTTATAATTTATTTTTAAGATTTCATTTTCCTGTAGACCTCGTTGCTAGACCTCTCACGGTTTTACAAGTTTCTAACCTAATTTGTTTTTGTCAACCTAAATTCACTTATTAACATGTATGTTTATTTTATATGGACTCTAATTGTCTTTGTCTTGTTTATGAATACAAATTTTTCATCTAAATATTTTCTATTTATTTTATAAATTAAAAGTTTCATTTAATTAAACCGTAGACCTCATCCGTAGACCTCACGTTTTTACAGCTTTCCAAACTAATTTGCCTATGTTAGTTTAATTTGACTCATTTGTATGCAATTATAATTTTTCAAGAGGCAAATTACTATTTATGATTTATGTATGCAAATGGTTTCATCAAAATGTTTTTTTTGTTTTTCCCAATTAAAATATAAAATTAAAATACAAGGTAGACCGACTATAAAAGTCTATATGTAGACAGCAAGCGTAGACCTACGCTCCGGGTTAATTTGGTAATCGCGGCAAATTTTTTTTGTTTGTTCATGAGGGTGACCTTTGTAATTTCGCTACCCAAACAGGTTAGTTTTGCAATACTTTCAAGTTTCGGGTTATGGTTATAGAAAAAAGCAAATTTCGGGTTATATGTGGAAATTCTCCCTTGTTTATTCAAATAGTAAAAATATTCAAACAAGAAATATGTTATTTTGGCATTTCAACTTGTAAAAATATACATTATGAGTCTAAATGGTAACTGCGGAATGCTACTGAATGAAGAATCTTGCGGAATTAAATGAAGATTTTGAGGAATCTATCTGATTAGTTGATAATATGAATAGTAACCGATGAGTGTTGTTGAATGCGGAACAAATACCTATCAAATTATTTGCATACAGAATAACAAAATATTTACTCATTTAAATTAATATATATATATTTTTTTTGAAATAACTAAAATAATTTATTTCAAATATATAATCTATTCAAAAATTAGGATTTCTAATCATTTATTAAACACAAAATCTTAATATATATATTTAAAGTTACAATATTTTTAATATTACTAATTAACTAATGAAATTGATCTAATCCCTTTTAGTTCTGTTAAATTTTTTTATTTCTTATTCATTCATCTGAAAAGTAAAATTGAAAGCTATTTTTTTTGTAGTGATTTTTCAGTTATTTTGTTGTTGCTTGACTAATTCTCTTTTAAAAAATTAAAATAATATTATTTGTGGGTCCCACAAAGCTTCTTTCATCGATATTCTCCCAAACCAAACCCAATTCTTCAACATTAACTCCATTCCACAAGATTACTTAAACATAACTGATGTCAGTTTTTTTTTTTCTTTTCTTTTTCTTTCAGTCACATTCAGATAAATTCAGCTATTACGAGTTAATGCTTATGTAGCTGTGATTGTTTGCTTTTGATCTAACGAAGACGCTGAGAGGAACGTCAGCATGTCACCCGGACGAGATGTGTAGGCTAGGGACGGTCGGTATTCCGGTGGTTTACAACGAGATACAGCTTGAGAAGGTGCCGAAGATAGGCTATGACCTTCTCGAGGAAATTTTGGCCGGTGAGATCTATATCAATAGAACAAGAATCCTGAACTCATTGTACAAGTAAGAAACCATGGTGATAATTGGCGTTATGTAATGAGTTATCACCACATAGTTAAGGCATACATATTCGTGATTTCCGTACTCAAAAAGGTAAACAAATGATTTTTTTTTTTTTTTGTTATAGAAGAAGAGAGATGAATAGCGAAAAGTAATTCGTAATATCTTATTCCAATAGAAAGACCTTTATATAGGTGTACAACATTAGGGTTTTCCTTATAGGAAGTACACTTGGTGGACAAGTAGAATATTCTAGAAGATGGGTGATAATGGGCATCCACATAAAGCCTTTTCATAACACTTCCCCTTGATGTCCATTATAAGTAATGTGCGGATGATGCTACCTCATTAAAAACCTTACCAGGAAAAACCATGGTTAAGGGAAAAAGAGTGTAGCGCACAATTACTTCCCCTCATGTGGACATCCGTGAGATCCTTGAGACGACGCAGTCCAATCATATGAGTTAGCTTCTTGAAAGTAGATGTTGGAAGCGCCTTAGTAAACAAGTCCGCCAAATTCTCGCTTGAACGAATCTGGTGTACACTTACATCGCCATTCTTCTGTAACTCATGGGTGAAGAAAAACTTCGGTAGGATGTGCTTCGTTCTGTCTCCTTTAATGTACCCATCCTTGAGTTGTGCGATGCAAGCAGCATTATCTTCATACATAACCGTTGGAGCTCCTTTTCCTGTCTGTACACCACAATCTTCTCGAATGTGTTGACTACAGACCTCAACCAAATACGCACTCACGACTAGCTTCGTGGATGGCTAATATCTCTGCATGGTTAGAAGAAGTAGCTGCAAGAGTTTGCTTCATAGAACGCCAAGAAATAGCAGTACCTCCACAAGTGAACACATATCCAGTTTGTGAACGAGCAGTATGTGGATCAGACAAGTATCCTGCATCTGCAAAACCAATCAAGTCTTCCTTGCATGTATTAGAAAAGAATAAACCCATATCTTTCGTGCCTTGCAGATAACGAAGTATATGTTTAACCCCATTCCAATGTCTTCTGGTTGGACATGAGCTAAACCTTGCCAATAGGTTCACTGCAAATGATATATCAGGTCGTGTATGACTAGCAAGATACATCAATGCTCCTATGGCACTCAAGTATGGTACTTCAGGACCAATAACTTCTTCATCGTTTTCCCGAGGGCGAAAAGGGTCCTTTAATACATCAAGTGACCTCACAATCATTGGACTACTCAAAGGATGAGACTGATCCATGAAAAACCTTTTGAGAATTTTCTGGTGTACGCCATCTGGTGCAGTAGAATTCCATCCACAAGATGCTCAATCTGCAATCCCAAGCAGAATTTCGTCTTTCCGAGATCTTTCATCTCAAATTCTTTCTTCAAGTATTCTACTGTATATGAAATCTCTTCAGGAGTTCCAATAATATTCAAATCATCCACGTACACCGCAATGATAACAAATCCTTTACCGAATTTCCTTATGAATATGCATGGACTGATAAGATCATTCTTATAGCCTTCCTTCAGCAAGTATTCACTAAGACGGTTATACCACATACGTCCTGATTGTTTCAATCCATAAAGAGAACGTTTTAACTTTATGGAGAAATCTTCTCTAGAATTTGATTTCTCTGCTTCAGGCAGTTCAAATCCTTCTGGGACTTTCATATAGATCTCATTATCCAATGGACCATATAAGTAGGCTGTGACTACATCCATCAGCCGAAAATCAAGTCCTTCTCTTATAGCAAGAGTAATGAGATACCGGAAAGTAGTTGCATCCACTACAGGAGAGTATGTCTCTTCATAATCAATTCCGGGTATTTGTGAGAAACCCTGTGCAACTAAACGTGCCTTGTGTCTCACAATTTCACCATTCTCAATATATTTCTGTCCAACTAGTTGTACACCTTCAGGTGTACTGACTACTAGTCCTAATACTTCTCTTTCCCCAAAAAGTTCAATTCCACGTCTATTCCTCATTACATTTTGGCTTCATCAACTTTGAGTTCATTTTTATTTATAACATCCGAAGATTATTACAAAGTCAAATTTAAACAGATAATTAATCTAGTCTACAAAGATCCATCCTACCATAACTGGACTTATCATTACCATTAGTATACCAAAAAATGAATAGCAATATAATGTAGGAAGAAATTAAATGTGGATGGCACAATAAATTGTGTTGACTTTTGTTTTCTAAATAACCATAATCTCCCTAATGTAGGAGAATCTAAAGAAGAGGTTTCATGCTCTAAAGAGAGCTTATTGAGACATAAAACGAAACTCAAATAGAAGTAGCTCAAAGAGCTTTATGCAGAAATGAAAAAGAGAGAAAGAAGCTTAGGTTGTCACCAGGAGATTAAGGATTTCTTAGATTGACATTAAAGAGATTAAAGAGCTCATAACCGCAGCCAAAGTTACTCTTACGCAAAGACACCAGAACTTAATTTATATCTCTTGTTACATGTCTAAAACCCTAGTTACATGGGCTTGGTCTTGTCTTGGGCCTTTGCTCTAATACTCCCCCGCAAACTTGGTGTCCGATGAAGAGAGATGACAAGTTTGAAACTGCATAACATTGGCGTGAAAGGATCTTGAGTAGTTGAGGTAGAGACACCTTGAGATGTAGCCAAAGTTTCTCTTACACAAAGACACTAGAACAAAGGGTTTTCCTTACCCATAACTCAACTAGTTTTTCCATTGATAAAGGAGAAACTTTCCCACCAACACTGAAATCCTACTCAACTCTCTATGTTCTAAGAAGTAGCCAACATCCATCTGCTTTTTCACAATTTCGTTTTTCACTTTGACATATCATCGAACAGCTTGTGTGCACTCAGCAAAAACAGAGACTTTCAGCCAAACAACCAACTTTATCAAACCCAAGACAGCATATATCAACAAAGCTTCTATCGATTCCAGACCTATCAAACTAAACCAGCCAGCATACCACCAAACAGACAACATCCAACACAATCTTCTCAATCTGTCGAACCTATTGAACTTTAACAAGTTATAGGCGGAGAGAGAGCTTCGACCGAAGGCGAGGAGACGACGGAAGACGAGAAGGGAAGCTAATATATTTTTTTAATCATTTCAATTAGATACCAATTTGCTTTACGGTTCAATTCAAATAAATAGAAACACAACCAAAAATCAAGCGGGAACCGAGCTCATTGGCGTCTTAACCGAACTAAACGGCTTCATAGCTACGTTCCATATTCCATACCAATTTACTTTACGGTTGATATCAAATTAAGCGGGAACTGACGGGATTGCGTTTAAACCGAACCAAGAGCACGTATGACAAACCCTATATACAGATGTGTGTGTGTGATTAACTTATGTTGTATCGAGGTTTTTGTTGACAAATAAGTAATGTACAATCAATGCAAATATTAAAAGGGTTGTACCAATGTTTGTTGACATAAACTTTTATACTCCCACTGTTTTATAATAATAAATGTCATTTAGAGAAAATGTACGTGGACAATAATTGGATGTATCTGGACAATAATTGGATGTATCTGAATAATAATAAATGTTATTTTGAGTTTAATACATCCAAATACATTAGGGGGGGGGGTGTATTGGAATAAGGATTCTATGTGATTTTGTTTTTTTTTAAATCCCCCGTTATTCAACTAGTGATTTATAAATGGATTTTCAAATCCAGTGTTCTTGAAAATGCAATTATTTTAAAATCACTCAAAATATTCAATAAAGAATTTGTTAATACTAAATCAAATCTAGTGTTATTCAAAATTAAATACCTCTTTAGGTAAACTACTTCTAAAAAGGATTTTAGGTGATTTCATTCCCATTTTTAGTTAAAAATAGTAGTAACGAAATCACACCTCTATAGAAGGGATTTGGAGAATTTTATTTTATTTTATTAATAAAGTACTTTCACCAAGATTCCCCTTTTTTTCTCTCTCTAAATCTTTTTCTCTCCCTTCTCTTTCTTCTTCTTCGTGCAGGTGCAGATCCGGTTTTCTAGCCGGCGTCAGTGGGCTTCCTCAGCCACGACGTCATGGCTCTCCTGTTTTTTGTTTGCTTCGGTTTAGTTCTTCTTCCTTTAGCTTTTCTTTCTTCGGTGACAGACTTTATTCTAGATCTAGATATAGATCTGGTTTCTTTCCGAGTTTGAAAGGTTTTGAAGTTCTCTTTTGGTTGTTTCTTTCAATATCTCTTTTGGATCTAGCTTTTGTCTCTCTGGTCTTGGTCTCAGTTACGGTTACAGCAGTGATCTGGTGGCGGCGTGTGGTGAGCGGTTTAAGAGTTTGGTTTCTGGTCACCTCTCCTTCTTCTGCGTGGAAGGAGCTTCTCTCGCGTCTTCGAAGCAAGTTCTCTTCCTTTTCGGTCCTGGCCTTTTTGTCAAGGTTTAGTGCTACTCGAAGAAGGGCGTTTGATTAGGGGTTCTTCCCGGGTGTCCTTGTTTTTCTCGGTTTGTGCATCTGTCCGGTGATGGTCCGGTGATGTTTTATGTGTCGGTGTTGTTCTGGCTCTGTCGTCGTGGATGAAGGGTTCAGATGAGTTTCAATGGTTCTTTTGAGGTCCGTTCACCAAGTCGATTGCTCCGGCTGTGATTAAAGTCTTGTGAAGCTTTAGCTTTTTTTCTCTTGAGATTTAGGGTTTGATCTTGTTGATTTCCCTTAGTTTGGGCTTTTATTTCCCTTGTTGGGCTTATGTCTCCCTCATATGGGCTTTGTTTCCGGGATATTTCGTTATTCCTCCGGCTTTTGTAATGTGTTCGTTGTGCTACTCAATTTCAGAGGAAAAAAAAAAACTTCCATCTTCCCCATTGCCTTCGTTTGATGATATGTACAACCTAAATAACTTTTTTTTTTTGGCGTTGAAGACGTATCAGTTTTTGTTTCAGAGAATTTTTTGAATGCATCTCTGGGATTCCCTTTCAATAGCTTAATTGAGTTACAACAGCTAATTTGAATGATTACAGTTTCTGGGTTGTTGATTAGAGTTTCTGGGTTGTTGAAAATTTGATGGGTTTAAACAATTATTGTAATGAAATCAAAATCTGACGACTACTTGATGTGGAAATGCTGTGTCTTCATGTGTTTTATCTTAATTACGAGTTGAAAAGTTATATGTTTAGGCACTTGAACGAAAGACATTGATTTGCTTTTTCGCTCAAATATTTTTCATTACTCCTAGGAACGAAAGTTATATGTTTCTAGGAACTTTTTTTTTTCTTGAATGTTATCAAATCACCCAAACCTTATAATTTTCTTTTTTAGAATCCCACAAAACTCACTTGAAATACCATTAAAATCCCCCAAAATCCCATCAATACGTTTTTTAAATCCCACAAAATCCACCCTAAATCCCACTAAATCTTCCAAATCTCCTAAAATCTCCTAAAATACAAAATCACCTATAATAATCACTTAAAACCCCTACTTCAATACATCCCCCATTGAATTCTCATTTTGCTTAAATGACACTTGTTATGAAACGAATGGAGTATTTAATAATGAAAGAACGAAAAAAAGGATTACATGAGAATACAAGAATGTATACATAATATATGTCGACTAATATAATAATAATACAAACAGACACATACATACATTTATATTTTCATTTTGTACTAACGCAGAAAAAAAGAATGTTAATTTTCATAATTTGAAATTAAAAATGTTTAGCACTCCTTCTGCATCCAGCCGCATAAGATGCCACTTACAAAACCGCCACCATCCCTTGGAGGAACGTAATATTCTGTATGAGACGTTTGTTGTTTCTTACAAAGTTTTTTGCAAGCTTCTTCGCAAATGACCGGATCATATTTTTTCATCACTTTCGAGCACTGATTCGGGATACAATGTTTAACACACATTTCTACATTGGTTGAATGAGAAATATGTGCCGGAAATACTATCATAATTATAGCAACAATCGTGAAAATGCTGCATGTTTTTTTGAAGGCTTGACCTGCCATAACTTTTTTTTTCACCTCAAATCCTAAATGAGTATTGCAATTCTTATTTTCTGTTTAGATAGGTGAACGAGATGATTTGGTGAGTGTAGATGATTTTTATAGTGAAAGTAATGGTATCAATTTTTAGCATTTGTTTTAATCTGTTTAATGCTTCTCTATCTTGAGATATAAACACCAAATTAAGTTTTGTCAAATTAGCTGTTCTTTTTTTACATATTTAGTTGTCCAAACAACTTAGTGCTATGAGAAAACAATGACTAGTTATTCGTATTGTAAAGTGCTAAAGGCAAGCTTGCAGATGCCTCAATTTGCCATTTTGGTTTATTTTGTAACCACATATTGCTTAAAAATATTCATTTTTAACAGCATGTATAAATATATCAATAGGATCTATTGAATGGTTTAATAATATATGTTGAATTGAATAAACATATAAGCACTCTCGAAATCCATGCTAAGTAGTCACATATAATCCCAAATATCATTGCATAGTAGAAATTTAAGTTTTTTTTGGAACCCAAAGAGGCATACAGTTTAACAATTTCCATGTTTAAGGTTTCACTAATAACCTAAGCAGCTACACAACACTGTGCTGATATTTGGGAAATCGATGTTTCTGAAGAGACTTGGCTGGTCAAGGCAGCGTTGAGCAGGTTTTGATGTCAGGAGATGTGATAGAGTAGCCAAAAGAAGAAATAAGCTAGATGGGTTATCCAAGACATGAATAATATGGGTTTCAAAATCTCCATACTAATCGAGTCTTCTTCAAAGACCGAATGAATAAGCAAAGCCTCTGGTTGGTAAAATGGAATCGAGTAGTTGCCACGGACTCCACTGCGTACAAGAGGCTCTTAACACAACAATCACTTCTTATAATCGATTTTTGTGAAATAACATATGACCCCAATATTTTTTCCCAAGCATCATAATAGCCCATGTAATTAAAGTTTTCTAGCAAAATAACTTTCTCTATATGTGTGTGCGTGATAAACTACTAATAGATGACATAATTTTGATT